CTGAGGCGGGAGGGTCCCTGTGAGTTCAAGGCGAGCCTGGGCTACACAGGGACCTCAAGGCCAGTCTGAACTAAGCAAGACCCTGTTTCTAAAGGACAACATAAAAAAAAGTAGCAAAGTTTCAGAGGACATCAGTACAGTCATCAGAAGTTCTGTGTTGACCTTCACATGTGTGTCTTAGAACTTTCTGCACCCTTTTTTAGTACAAAAACAGAATAGCAGCTACATTCAAGTTTCGTGTACACCCAAGTAGATAGACTACAGCTGTTTGTTAAGCTTGCATTGTGTGGGGACATCAAAGATACATAAGCCTACGGAAGGTAGTGGTTGCATTAGCGTCAACCAAGCGCGTGCGGGATAGGCTTACGGCACGGTGTCCGTCACCTGTCCAGCTCCACAGTGGGGAAGTTTAGGCCAAACCGGGGGAGACGCAGATCTATGTTAGCGTAGATTGCCTTCTTGTTTTCTGAGGCAGCGGCTGTATCGATTCTCATCTTTCTCTCTGTGCACCTGTATACCTACCGTATTTCACTTCCAAAAGTTACATCTTTAGATTAGCAGGCACTAAGGAGTTCGGCTCTTGACTCTCCCTGCCTGCCACCACCCTCGTGGGCCTTGGCAGGAGCAGGAAATGAGGTCCTGGGTTGAAGCCAGACTTGAATGAGACTATGCCTTAAACTTTAGCAGAAATGCTGATTTGCCTGTGGGGTTTTTTTGAGACCAGATCTGCCTTGCAGCCCAGGCTGGCCTTGAACATGCAGCCCTCTCCTGCCTCAGCCTCCCAAGTGCTGGGCTGCCTGGCCCACTCTACACCCCTCTTCCAGAGTGCTTTGCAAAGCATTGCAATTTTAAGAAGACTGTTAATTCCTCAAATGCAGTTTCTTACATAGGAACTCATTTTTGGTTTTGGCTTTGTGGGGGTGGTAGCATGTTTGGAATTAAGATGTCACTCGTGGTAGGCAGGCGTGAACCAGCACGCACACTGCCACCCTCTAAGTATTGTTCTTGACATAGTTTATGCTCACGGTGTGGGGCTGTCCTCTTCCTTTCTCTTAAAATAATAAAATGAAAGAGACCTGGACCAAGGCTTTAAAATAAATATTTCCCACATATTTCGACACATGTTATTTCTATTCATAATTCTTAACTAAATTTAGATTTTTATTAATCCAATGTGACCTAAAATTTTGCATTAACAGCACTATGTGGAATTGGGCTTATTCTCTTTGGCTACAGATAAAGCCGTCATGTCGAGAATGGCTTTTCTGACAAAAAGGTGTTCCTTTGAAATAAAGTCTTACTCACTACATTCCTCTTAGAGTTAATGTGAATTTTAGTGCCTCTAATTTTAGATTGAAGGGAAGTCTGGAATAAGACCCACCAGCTGACAATTGAATTTATAGATAGTTGTGAATATTTCAGGCTTGAATAATAGAGCCGTAGAATTTCAGAGACAGAGAGCGAGAGAATTAAGGCTTGCTGCAATTTTCGGTTATAATGCGATCGGCTGGAGGGAGGGCTGGCGTGGGAGGCCTAGGAGACCACTGGGTCTTGCAGATTTCTGTCTAAGCAGTGCTCGCTGCAGGCCTGGGGGCCAGGGGATGCCACGGGGCTGACCTGCCACCCCCCACATGGGGAGGGTGCCCTTCTGCCCCTTCCCAGGTAGAATTGCTGAGAAATAAAAGCTGTAGCTCCCTGCAGGTGCCAACTCTCACTCTGCTGGCGGAGCTGATTTTTAAAATTGAGTAAACACCGTAAGTTGGTGGTGCCCGCCTGTAAGCTCAGCACTTGGGAGGCTGAGACAGGAGGATCTTCGGCAGTTTGAGATCAGCCTGGGATGCCTAGTACATTCAGTACCAGCCTGCACTCTCTAGGGAGACTCTGTCTCAACCCCCACCCTCCATGAGTAAACACCACTAAGAACTCTGTTAGCTTCAAACATTTCTGGCCTGGGGTTTGGACTCAGGTATGGGTCCAGACCCTGTCTTTACCACTCCCCAGCGGCGTGACCTTCAGTAAGCCTCAGAAGAGTGGGGTTCCTGAAAAGCTGTCTGCCCAGCTCACAAGGCAGTCTTGGGGTATTTTATGCTATTTGGGTTTATCACATCCTGTTTTTTGGTCTCACTCTTGCTAGGTAAATGTTCTGCTGAGCTGCGCTCAGCCCAGCATCTTGGGAATTTTCTTTTCCTTCCAGTCCTGGATTGAACTCAGGGCTTCGGGCCTGCTGCATGTGCTTCTCGGAGTCAGTTCTCCAGCCTTTTGAAGCTTACTTTCTGAGACAGGCTCTCAATCAGTTGCTCAGGCTGGCCTTGCTCTTGTGATCCTCCTGCCTCAGCCTCCTAGGGGCTGAGATGAAGGCCCAAAACCAGCACAACCACCTTTCTGCAGAGGTTAGAGGTCTATAAGGAAATGTCCAAGGGGACCAACACTAGGGTGGAAGTGGTAGTGGTGCAATCCGAATGGTGGCAGGGACAGGAGGGCAGCAGGGACAGGAGGGCTCCCTGCGGTTCTTAGGCCCAGCCTGGGAGGATGCCATGGGGGTGAGCCCCATGGCTTCCCTGCCCCTGGCTCGCCAGGAGGACAACACAGTGGTTTCTCCTCCCCAGGTCTCCACGGGGGAGGCGACAACCAGGGCCAGGCTGCAGCCTGGGGGATCCAGTGCCTTCCAATGTATGAGGAGAGAACTGTGTCCTTGGGTTAGACTCCAATGCCATCACACCCTGGGGCCCCCAAATCACTTTCCTTGCCCCTGCTCCACAGCCACCCCTCT